TTTTTTTTTTTTGGTTGTAGTGTCACTGTTGTTTGGCAGGCCCAGGCTAGATATGAATCTGCCATCCTTGGTATATATGGCTGGCACCCTACCCCCTGAGCTACAGGCACTTAGCTTTCACATCTGAATTCTATCAAACCTTTAAAGAGGAACTAGTACCTATATTATACAACCTTTTCCAAAGCATAGAAAAAGAAGGAATACTTCCCAACACATTCTATGAAGAAAATATCACCCTAATCATCCAAATCAGGAAAGGATCCAACAAAGAAAGAAAATTATAGACCAATGTCATTAATGAGTATCAATGCAAAAATATTCAATACAATCTTAGCAAACAGAATTCAACAACACATCAAAAAAATTATACACCATGATCAAGTTGGTTTTATTCCAGGGTTACAAGGTTGGTTCAACATATGCAAAGCTATAAATATAATACATCACATAAATAAAATAAAAACAATGATATGATTCTCTCAACTGATGAAGAAAAAGGTTCTGATAATATCCAGCATCCTTTCATGATCAGAACACAAGAAAATAGGCATAGATGGGACATTTCTTAAACCAATAAAGGCCATCTACAGCAAACCCACAGTCAATATCGTATCGAATGGAGTAGAACTAAAAACATTTCCACTCAGATCTGGAACTAGGCAAGGATGCCCATTGCCTCTGCTGCTATTCAACATAGCAATGGAAATCTTAGCCATCGCAATCAAGCAAGAGAAGTGATCAAGGGTACCCAAATATGGTCAGAGTTCAAACTCTCACTCTTCACAGATGATATGATCCTATACCTGGAAAATCCCAGGTATTCAACTACAAAACTCTTAGAAGCGATCAAGGAACACAGCAGGGTCTCAGTACTACAAATCAGCTACAAATCAGTAGCTTTTATACATGTCAACAAAAATCAAGCTGTAAAAATAGCCAAGGGCTCTATTCCTTTTACAGTAGTGCCAAAGAAGATGAAATATTTGGGAGTTTACCTAACAAAGGATGTGAAAGATTTCTATAAGGAGAACTACGCAACTCTGAGAAAAGAAACTGAAGCTGTTAACAAATGGAAAAACATGCCATGCTCGTGGCTGGGAAGAATCAACATTGTTAAAATGTCCATACTATCCAAAGCAATCTATAGATTTAATGCAATCCTTATTAAAGCACCACTGTCATACTTTAAAGACCTTGCAAAAATAGTGTTTCCTTTTATATGGAAAGAAAAAACCTTGAATAGCCAAAAAGGTTACTCAGAAATAAAAACAAAGTAAAAGGTATCATGTTACCAGACTCCAGGTTATATACTATAAATTGATACTGATCAGAACAACATGGTACTGGCACAGAAACAGAGAGGTAGATGTATGGAACAGAATAGAGAACCAAGAGATGAACCCAGACACTTATCATCATTTGATTTTTGATAAGCCAACCAAAAACATTAAGTGGTGAAAAAGATTCCCTATTTAACAAACGGTCCTAGGTGAACTGGCTGGTGACCTGTAGAAGACTGAAACTGGGACTTCCACCTTTCACCATTAACAAAAATTAATTCTCACTGGATAAAAGATTTAAACTTAAGACATGAAACTATAAAAATACTAGAAGAGAGTGTAGGGAAAACTCATGAAGAAATTGGTCTAGGAGAATATTTTACAAGGACAACCCCCTGGGGAATTGAAGCAACACCAAAAATACATTACTGAGGACTGATCAAACTAAAAAGCTTCTGCACAGCTAAGAGCACAGTAAAGGAAATAGACAACCTTCAGAATGGGAGATTTTTGCAGGTTATGCTTCCAACAAAGGTCTGATAACTAGAATCCACAGAGAATTCAAACTAATCAATAAGAAGAAATAAACCCATTTCTATGTGGGCAAGAGACTTGAACAAAACTTCTCTGAAGAAGACAGGCGCATGGCCTACAAACAAATGAAAAAATGCTCATCACCTTTAAACATCAGAGAAATGCAAATCAAAACCAGTTTGAGATTATCATCTAACTCCAGTGAAATTAGCCCACATAACAAAACCCCCAAACTACAGATGTTGGCGTGGAGAGAAGGGAACACTTCTGCAGTGCTGGTGGGAAGGCAAGCTAATATGACCTTTTTGGGAAAACGTTTGGAGAATACGCAAGGACCTAAAATTGTTCGATACTGCAATTCCTCTACTAGGTATATACCCAGATGATCAGAAATCAATTTACAACAAAGACATTTGCACCATAATGTTTATTGCAGCCCAATTCATAATTGCCAAGACATGGAAACAGCCCAAGTGCCCATCACCCATGAATGGATTAACAAATTGTGGTCTATGTACACCATGGAATACTATGCAGCCATAAAAAGATGGAGACTTCACATCTTTTATGTTTACCTGGATGGAGCTGGAACATATTCTTCTTAGTAAAGTATCTCAAGAATGGAAAAATAAGCATCCAATGTACTCGATACTACTATGAAATCAATATATAATCACCTACACATTCATACAAATGGTAAAACATAACTAGAATCCAGAAAGTAGAAGGGAAGAGGAGAAAGAGGGACGGGGAGGGGGGAGGCAGGAGGAGGGAGGGTATTTGGAGGGACCTCACTTAATGTGCACAATGCAATGGTATATTTCAAAACTATTAAGAGTATAACTGTCTTACCACAACAAATAAGTTGATGGATGTGTTAATCACTTCGATGTAAGCATTTCACATTGTGTATCCAATCAGTACACTGAACCCCATAAATGCATCAATTTACAGTTATGATTTAATAAAAAAATAAAATACAAATTCAGTGGGAGATAATTATGAAAAACATTTAAGTTCTAACATTAAACAAGAAAAATATTTTCATGATCAAGCTTGGAATCAGTCCCACTTTAACAGTTAACATGTTTTCTTTATAGGACTTTTTATCCTTAAGATACTAAGGCTGTGCAATGGATTCTTTCAGGGGGAGCTAGAATGTGCAATTTAGAAAAAGTGTTTGATCAAAGAACTCACCTTCCATCCCCTTGATATTTCAACTACAACGTTTTGACAAAAGCTGCTTTCTGCTGCATTTCTTGTCAGATCTTCTCATCTTTGACAAAAGCTGCTTTCTGCTGCAGTTCTTGTCAGATCTTCTCATGTCCGTTAGTCTCTTTCTGGACTCCACTAAATTACCCTTATTCTGGCTCCCATCATTTTTTTGTTTGGACTACTTTCAAGTCTCCCTATGAATCGCCAACTTACCCAGTATATCCTTTATACCAGGGCTCCTCAAACTTTTTAAACAAGGGGCCAGTTTACTGTCCCTCAGACCGTTGGAAGGCCAGACTGCAGGCCCCGGAACAAGTCAGCTGCTAAGCAGGACAGGCAGCAGTGGCAAAAACACCAGGGTGGGGGGGAGAAGGGGGGGCGGATAAATGTCCTAGGTGGGCTGCATGTGGCCCATGGGCCATAGTTTGAGGCCACCTGCAGTCTATACCATGATAATTATCTTTCTAAAATTGCTACTTGCATTCAGTAACCACTTAGAAAGAAAAAGACTAAACCTGGCATACAAGAACCTTTGTGATCTGACCCATCTGCCGCTTCAGCTTCTCCAATATCCCCTACCTTTCCATTCCGCAATGACTGACACTAATGACTCTTCATACCTCTGCACCTGGGACACCCTTGTCCCTTCTGACCATCTGATATGCAAGCATTCATCTTTCAAAACTCATTGTCTCCACAAAGACTTTCACACCTACCTACCTACTTTTCAGGGTATTCTCTCTGATGCCGTTAGCTGTAGTAATTGTGTACTTTCTTCTTAATATGTATGGCAACTGCTATTGCTTAAATGATGATCAAAATTTGCTTTATTAAAAAGCTTTGGCCTTTAAAATAATAAACTATGCTAAATCTAACAGTTCTAAAAATTTCTAAAACTTGTGTCACTTAAGACAATGATATATTTTGAATAACATTAACCTGTAATGTACAAATTCCTTGGGTCTAGAAAAGGAAAAAGATTAATTTTAAATTATGAAACTTTAGGCAAATTTAGGTTGCAGGAAAAAAATATCTCAAAGACAGAAGTGGAGGAAAAGTATACCATGAATAAAAAATGATTCTTTTTTAATATGTAGGCATTACATTCCATATAAAATTTTACCAACATGCTGTTCTACAAATTCATATTTATTTTAGATCTTAATTTGATTTTTCTGTACCATGCTATAAAGCCCACTCCCCCATAATTACTTTCAGCATATATTACCTGGGACATAAAAAATTTCATTAAATGTTGGCAAACTCTTTCCTTGACATGTTGGAGAACAATTACAGAAATCTTTAGTGGCAAAATTTTAAGCTGATGAGCCAAAGAAAATCCTTAGCACATTGGCATTTTTGCTTTCACTCAACAGTGGTTCATCACTGTAAAGATGAGAGTAAACCACTTCTACTGCACTGTACTGGGCAGTGCTGCCAAATGCCCACCTTTAAGAGCGAGGTCATGTTCTAAGAAAATTGTACAGAAACGTTCAATTGTTAACAAAAATTTAATATTAAAATTATTCAAAGATATTTTAATTACTGTTAATTTAGAAAAAAACATGTATTAATCACCCATAAAACAATTTTTATTTTAATAAATAACAATGGGCTTACCAAAGGGTAGAAATTTTAATATGTTAAGTTTTGTGCATATTGGTAATAAATCTTAAGGAGGTAAAGCCAACTATTCAATAAAACTCAAAGGCCCTAAAAATAAAACTATAATACTTTAATAAAACTTAAAAAAATATTTTCCAAAAGAAAATAGTTCACTCCTTGACCATGCTCATTTATTCAGAGTACCAGCGATTTCAGTTAAGGATAAGTGCTTCATTTTTCCTTAAATCTGATCTTGCATGGGGAACAGACACATTTTCATATCATCACAATATCATCAGTGTCTCAGGCCAATAATATTGTGAATGCAACTATTTTATAACAAATAAAAGTAAAAAATCAATGCTACTATTTATGGCAAACAGAAACAAAAGTAAATATTGAAAGGATGCTTCCTTTTGTTTCCAGCACTGATTTTAGCTGAACTTTAAACAAAGGTCATCAAACCTCTCCTGAAATAACCTCTACCTCTGGCTGTGAATCCACAGTATAAATAGACAAACCCTAAACTATAAGAGCTAACCATATATGAAATAATCAAAATAATCAATTGTAACAACTAATACTGCTCTTAAAGACCAATCTAATGAAAAAAGTATCATTAGATATGGTGAGAAAATACAGACAAATCTGTACAATCTAACATCTATAAACAGTAAAATCAAAATTTCCAACTTCCTTATAGAAAGTGTTTCATCTATGTAATTATAAATGTTAAGAACTCTTGTATTTTATAAACACAAGATGGGCTCACTTTGATGATATCAATTTTAAGATTTATAAAAATGTTTAAAAAAATCTTTCCACAAAACTTTATACAGTTTAAAGCTATACACCAATCTATAAATCTCAGAAATTGGACGGGGGGAACCTTTATAAGATCACATGTATAAAACAATAAATGAAATGTGATTTTATTTAAGGCAATACTGGGCTACTTCACAAATCACCATCTCAAATATTTATACTGCTCCACACGACTAGTTTCTATCACATTCACAAAGGATTTTTTTTAATACCAAATGTTTAAAATCTTCAATGTAGTAAATTCTTTATTCACATTTCCATTATATTTCATGGAGTCAGAGCAACTATATTCAATTAGAAGCAATGAGAAAAAACCAAAACTGTAGCTGTAGGAAACTGTTAAGGAATCTGCTTTCTCAACGAATACCACCCAAGAACCCTGGATGGCAAATTTACAAAGCAGAAGTGTTTGATAATAATGTGCCTACTTTGTGAAAAGTAATCTTGAGATTATCTTGTAAATAAATGTTTCATGTAAAAATCAATGAACTATGGCAGAGCTTCTAGTTTTAGTTCAAAAAATTCTTAATTTAAAATAACAAAAAACAGTTTTAAAAAGTTGATCACTTAAAAATTAAAATTTCAAATATAAATGTGTCATTTAATACTTTAGACTTATAGACTGCTGGTGGCAGCAAAATGATTTACAGTAATAAATATATACAAAAAAGGTATCTACAAAGAGTACTATTATGCATGAGCAGTGACCTGGTGACACAGACCAATCACACAGATAACTCAGTTAAGTTCATGAGAAGGGCAACTGGGTTATAGAAATTTGAGGTTTAGCTCAATATTTACAATAAGTGAAGTACTGATTCTGTTCCTCAAGTCCCATAGGGATAAAAAAATGTTTTACATGACACATGTCATGTTTTTTTGTTTGTTTGTTTGGGGGGGGGGCAGGCTAATTCAGGTCGGCAACAGTAAAAAAAAATGAGTTTCACAATTCTAGCATGCTTGATGGCTTCCTATTTAAACCTATAAATGATGTATTTATAGTACATTAATTATCAGTACTGTCCTCTGCCTATGGCTTTCCCTACACTGATTTCTTTCATAACAGACATATCTGGATCATTTAAATGTACTTCAAGTTTTTTCAGACTGACAGTAGGTTTCATTTCCTGAAGTTGCTTTAAGACAAGCTCAGTGCAATCTTTAAGATTCTTGTCTAAAACAATTTTTACATTATCACTGAACTGAAGCTGGGATGGGTTGGCAAACTGTACAAACATTTCACTTTCTTTACAAGGACATATATGATTTCCACTAGTCACAGCAGTCTTGTCAATATTTCTCTTTGAATTTGAATGGGATCCTTTTCTGGTTCCACTATTTGGATGGTCTTTGTCAGTATTTTTCTTCTGCTTCACTGCAGACTCTTCAAGAAACTTTAAAAAAGATACTTCAAATCCCATTGGTTTAAATGAGCTCCAGTCAAAAGACGCAGGGTGCTCCTCAGTGGTCTGAATCGCCACTGCAGTCTCTTCTTCCTTATGAACAGTGCTTAACTCAACCACTGGTGTGGGCTCAGCCTTTTCTACTTTCCTTTTTTTATTTTGTGAGACATTTTTTTCTTTATTAACTCTCTTCAGATTGCTTGCTTTCTGCCTTTCTGGCTGGCAGGGGTTCTTTCCCTGAAAATCATTACTTACATTTGAGGAGGTATTAGCTTGGGCTTCCGTGCTTGTGCTATCTTCATTTATTAATTTTGTAATAAATAATTCCGTTAGCTCATCCATTTCATCTTTTTCATTTTTTTCAACTTCCTTCTGTGGAACTGTAGTTGCTCTTGAATCACCACTGCTCTCTGATACACATGTGTCAGAATCTTTCACATCAATCTTGTCTTCTTGCTCAGGTTCTCTTACTTGTGAGTTGCAACACTGTTTGAAGACAATAAGAAGATTTCGGTGTTGTGCTGTAAATGCCTTTGATAATTTATGGCACTTATAATGTCTAATTATATTGCTTTCACTTGTAACAACTGAAGTACATCCCTTTATCATACATGGATACTGGGTTACAAATCTGCTTGTACACTCAGACAAGGCATCATTTCTAGCCTTTATAGAATATACATGCTTCCCACGTTTCAGGGAATAAGGCTTATCTTCTTCAATCTGCACAATCTTTGTATTCTTGTTTTCTAAATTACTTTTTTTCTTTCGTTTGGTCTTAGGCATTTTTATTCCTTCTTTCCCACATCTGCTGTGTTTTGTTCCCCGATGTCTAGACTTAGATTTTTCTTGGTTTGCCTTGCTTGATATATTTTCCTGGCCAGGTGTTAACCTTCTTGGCCGAATCAAATGAGCTTTATGTTTATCATTATGCTTATTAAAAATGTGTCGGAGGAGATTAGAGCGAGTTGCATATATCCGGTCACAGCCTTCGCAGTCACACTTGTATATGCCGTCATCTTCTGTCTTACTTGCCCTTATCCCAATTCCATGGTCTGCCTCTAGATGAACAACATAGTTCAAATACGTAGTAAATGAAGATCTGCACTCTAATTGGTCACATGGAAATTTACCAATATCTACTGAAGCAGTCATACTTTCAATTTCCTCAGGAGTCATTTCATGAAGTTTCATGTAGTGTTGTATTAGGCCAGTAATTGCTTGAAAAATTCGAGAACAGTCACTCACCTGACATCGAAATTCTTTCATAGTTTGTTTAGTTTCAGTTTCTTCATTTTCTTTACCTTCATTTTCCTCTTCAACCTCTGCAGAAAATGCAGGTAGATCTGATTTGTGTACAGCCTGGTAATGAAGAATCAAGTTTTGCTGTATCGTGAAGGCAGCAAAGCATCCCTGGTGAACACATCGATATGGTCTGTAGGGACTGTATCTTGTTGGAAACTCAAGGGATCGGGAAACTGGCTTCTTTCGTTTCTTCTCCTCTTTTTCTTTTTTAAGTCTCCTGATTTTGCGTCCTTTGGTTTGTATGTTTGTGAGAGAATGTGCATCATGTTGCTCTGAAGTAACTGTAATCACTTGTGGAGAACTTTCTGTTTTTTCAGGACTTTTTTTTTCTATAATTTGTTTTTCTGGGATCACTGCTACATTACTGAAGGCATTTTCTGTCTCTGCTCCCAGTTGCAAAGCAGGCTGGGATTCCCTTTTATTTTCCTCTGTCACAGCTAGCTGTTTTTTCACTTGTGTGATTTGTGGTGCTGACAAATTTTCACTGTGAGATTTTCTTCCATATGGCCTTTTTATTTTTAACTTTACCATTTCTTCAGTTGTAAAATGATGTACTAACTGACAGTGTGCCCGGAGGTTTGAATTTCGTGTAAATGTTTTTGTACATGTAGGTACCACACACTTAAATGGAGCAAATTTCAACTGATTCTTCTTAATTTCAAGAATCATCTCTGGAGTATACTGATGAATTTTACCATAGTGCTTAAATAATGCATCTTTTGTCATAGCACTGTAGCTACAGCCTTGGTCTTGACACACAAAGGGCTTATTAATTTTGTCACTAAACTGAATGTTTATCATTTCAGAAACTGGTTTAACTGTGACATTTGGAAGTGGCTTAACAGGAGCAGGAGTCAGTATCACAGATGTATTTATCAGCACACACTGAGATGCAGGAGAAGATAGGTCATTTTCTAGTTTCAGTCTCCGTAAGCCTTCTAAAATCTCCTGTACTTGATCCTCCTTAGGCAATGGTCCACACTGAGGAATGTCGCCTTTTGCGGGCATGATGTTGACAAAGGAGGCCAACTGAGAAGACTCGGGTGGTGTGCTGTTTTGTGCAGTGCTAACTGAGGGGAGATGGAGGTTACAGCTGGTTTGTGCATTCTGTGATGCTTCACCAGCACCATGAGACCCACTTTTTACCTGAAGTATTTGAGAATTCATAGCAGTTTTAATAATTTCGAGAGTCTTTTCAAAGTTTTGTATAACATTATCTTCGGAAATCTGCAAATCAGAATTTATTGAAGTTGTGCATGAATTTAAAGCCATCATTTGAGAATCACCATTTTCAGTTTTTAATGTTAAAGGAGCTAACACTGTATGGGCCTCAAGATTGGTTTTGAAGTTTCCTTTTACATCAGTCATAAATAACTGATTGTCAACACTATTTAATTTCTGTGTTAGATTTTCCACCAAATCCCGAGATTCACAACTTGGAATTACAGCTGAATGAAGGTTAGTAGTCGGGATCTCAATATTCTTTGCCAAGAGTTCCACTGCTGTTAAGTCACCTGTCACCAAGTTTTGGGAAACATTAGGTGCAATCAGCGAAGGTGTTGCTTTCTTTTTTCTCTTAGAAGCACTGTTTCCCTTTTTATTTAAGTGACTGGATCTTGTGTTCTGAGGACCACTAATAACTGAAACACGTGAACTGTTAGTGGTAAAGTTTTGGGATGGTCCACTAGAATCAGGGAATGAGCTAGAGCACGGGCCATTTTCAACAGTCTTCAGGAGTAAGTCACTTGCTGGGAAAACAGGCAAATTGCTGCATTCCTCAACAGAATTTTTGGAGTTTGGTGTCCTGCTCTGGTTTGTCAATAGGGCATTTGAATAGCATACAGTCTGCAACAGGGATGGCACAGCTGGGTCTGGCATCACTGTGGCATTTACTTGTGATGTATCTGAGACACAACCTGTTGGAACATGAGAAAGGATTTCACTGCCCTCAAATGTACTGGGAATGCCAGCAGTTTCCAAGGCCTGCTTAATAATTTCACTTCCTTCTTGATTAACACTGGTATTAAAGTTAGTCACACCAGGTCGAGGATATGTATTTGGTAAAAACGTTGATGAGTGATTTTCAGCAAGAAGCTGTAGGAATGAAGGATCTTTGAAACATGTTTCTGGATGGAAGGCAGATTGTTGTGGCTGCTGCAGGTTAATTGCACTGGTGGAGAGAATCATGCTGGCAAGAAGGGAAGGCTGCCCACTACTCTGCAGAAGCTCCTGAGCAATTTCTGCTCCGTCCAGGGGCTTACAGTAAGACCGTTTGGATAAGTGTCCACCCAGCGATCTGGGGTTAGTGAAAGCCCTATAACACCTGCTACAGATAAACTTCCCATCTCTGATAATTGCAGGCCATTTAGCCCTTTTGTTGTGCTTGGGTTTTCTCTCCTTCCCATTCAGGCCCCGCCCACGGTCTTTTTTGACTTTTTCAGGTGCAGACTGTTGGACATTCGTGCTATTAAAGTCATCTGCAACATTCACTTGGGAAGGAAAAACTTCATTCTCACCATTACCCCCCTTTAGAAAGGTGGAAGTTGCGTTTCCTTCAATCTGTGAGGAATAACGATTGGTATTATTTTCCAGTTGAGAAAAAACAGAATTAGTCCCACTATCGGCTGGTGAAGGGAAAAGAGACATTGAACTGCTTTCAGCAGGTAAAGGAAGGAAAGGATCTGAGCCACTGTCAATGTTCAAAGGCAAAACTGTTTTGGTTAAATCTTCCATTTGTGCCGGCAAGGTAGCATTGGACAAATTTTCCATTTGGGAACACAACATACCACTTTGTTCATTTTTATCCTGAGTAGACATATTTGCATTTATGACACTTTCCATTGAGGGCAACAATGGAGCTGATACACTTGCCAAATGAGGTGAGAAAATGGGAGGTGAGACATGCTGCAACGCGGCCACACAAGTGGGGCTCCCACTGGCTTTGGTCTGTGGTGTGAAAAATGTATTAGAACTGGTCACCTGTGGTGGCAAAAAATAAACAAACTTTCCATTATTGGGAGTATTCAAGTTATTAGATTTCTGACCTTTTTTACTTTTGTGCTGCATTTTAAATGCAGCATACTGATCAGGGTGTGCTGTTTTCATGTGTTTTCCTATACTCTGTGATGAATTATAGGTCCGAGTACATCCCTCAACCTGGCAGCTGAATTTCTGAACTGGAGCTTTTGGAGGCACTGATGGAGTTCCTAACGAACTACTTAGGTTGGGCTGTGCTGGAATAAATGTGATACTTTCCAAAGTCTTAAGAGGTAAATTATAAAGACCAGATGATGCTTTGACATTACTTCCACATTCAAACTTAGATATTGGTAAGTTGTTTTGAAATGCTGCCTGACTTTGCACAGAAAAGGTCATCAGGTTGTTCACTTGTCTTTCTAAGTTTTGTGGGGTAAGGTCACCTATTTTGAGGGTTTCTGAATTTACTAAGGAATTCTGAGTAATCTGGGCTTCATTAAAACAACCCTGTTCTTTCCTCTCTGGGAAAGCTGGATGATGCACATCATTACAAGAGTCTCTAACTAGGGTGTGTGAGTTTGTGACCAGTGGTTCACCACTGGCTTGTGCAGCTGAACTTTCTTGCTTTCCAAAGTTACCCTCAATCCCCTGATTCAGAGACACCTTAATGGACACAGCTACTTCACTGGCCTGAAGCAGAGGAGTAGCAGGGTTTTCCAAGCCATTTGACAATGATCCATTAGCGGGTGTGAGCTCAGAGGCAGAAATCTGATCTCGTTTGGTCACAGCTGCCTCCACTTTGCTTTCATCCCAAGCACCACTCCTCTCTGCTGGTGAGCTGTTTTCAACATTTTCTGAAGGAAGCACAGCTCTTTCTTTCTCCATATTCTCAGCTGTGTTCTGACTCACTTTGGAAGGCTGAACAGAATCTGCAGATGAATTAAATTGGTCTTCAGGGGGCAGCACTTTTTCAGGAGTGTTGTGATCATCCAGATGCTTCTCCAGCTCACTCTGAGAACGATAAACTTTACCACAACCTGTAAACTTACAAGTGTAGGTATTATAATGTTGTGCTTCATGATCATATAGTAAATAAGCTTCTGAAAAAATTCTGCCACATTTAGGAAACATACATTTTGCTCTGAAGACTTGATGCTCCTTTCGGTGGGTCAAAAGCTCTGCATAACTATTAAAGCCAGCCTTACATTTCATCTGTATACAGATATATGGTTTACTTCCACAATGCATTTGCAAGTGATCATTGAGATGAGTAACACTCACAAAATGCCGTCTACAGTACTGGCAAATGACTTTTTTGCTCTGCATTTCAAGGAAGCGCTTGGCATCTTCATTATCTTTATGCCCCTTTACATGAGCAATTAAATTCTTAAAGTACTTAAAGCCCTTTTTACAAAAACTGACAGGGCAATTAAATTCATTAACAGGTACTGGTTTCTGAACTGGGACCACTTCTGGCTCATAAGACTTATCTTTGTCATCATTCTCATCATCTGACCCATCATTATCATTAAACACAATGAAGTCTGTTGAATAGAGACTGTTCTTTTTTATCGGCCGCTGTTCCTGCTTAGCCACCGTGCTGGTCTTCTGATTCTCACTGACAGTTGTGATCTTAGGAGGTCTTCCCAATCTTCTTAATGGTTTCATAGCTGCTAGTCTCTCTTTACTAGATTGTTTGACATGCAATGTGACATGGGGGACAAAAGTTTCTTTAGAATTAAAGTTCTTTGCACATATGGGACAGCTGTAAATTCCATCTTTGTAATGTTTTTGAGCATGTCGTACTATTCTATGCCCAAGGAATTCTTTGTCACACAGCACACAATACTGCATATAGGCCTGCCAATTTCTAAACCTAGCAGATATGAATCCCCTCTCTCGCAACTGTTTTATCTCTCTCTTCTTCTGCTTTTCATCACCAATGTCTTTAAGAAGGCTAGAACTAGCACCAACTGCCCCAGAAAGGCCATTCAGAGAAGGCTCTTTGCCCGCTTCCTGGTAGTCTGCTACTTTCTCATACACTTCACTGTCATTCAGCTCATCTATAGAAGACACAATGGATGCTTCTTCTCCCATTAATGCAAGACATTGTCGTTTTAAGGTTTTCCAATCCCAGAATTCTGGATCAAAGGGCCATTGAGTTTTCAATACAAGTAAGAGCTCACAGCGTAAAGAATTTGGTATTGGTAGACTCTCTTCATCATATTTCTGGTCTGGCTGGTTATACAGCATTTCTACTGCATAATATGCATCGACAGTGGGCTCAATAAGAAATTCACTCAGTTGACAAGCACGTTTAACTTCCAGATCATCAGGCAACAGACATGAAATGGTCTTGCAAATAGAAATTTTCACTTCAGTATTTTCTGTAGATTCCAAGCGAAGGGCTTTTACACATAGTTCTATACAGGTGGCAAGTCCAGCGCCTTCAGTCTGTGAAAAAGCAAATAGGAAATGTTCAAGTCATCTCACTAATTGGGAATTTATGGATTTTAAGTCTGAGATTTGTTTTTCTCAAATCTTGCAATTACAGGACATGGAAAGATTCCCCTTCTAAAGCAATGCAGGTTGGTATGTGTGCGTGTGCGCAAGCATGTGGGTGTGTGTGTAAAGTGACTCTGGGAGGCCTACCTAGGACAATCACTTGAGCTCAGGAGGAGACCAGCCTGAACAAAAGCAAGACTCTGTCTCTACTAAAAATAGAAAAAGTAGCTGGGCCTTGTGGCAGATGCCTGTAGTCCTAGCTACTCAGGAGGCTGAGGCAGAAGGATTGCTTGAGCCCAGGAGTTTGAGGTTGTTGTGAGCTATGATGATGCTTAAAATTGAATGTAAAATCTCCTACCTCATTACTAGACAAGCTTGAAATGAGGAAGAAATGGAGTCTAATAAATAGTTTCTTTTGAATTCGCATCTTAACTATTATTAGAGAGCAGTAATGAAGATTAAGAGTCAGTTCAAAGACATGAGATGAGAGATAAAACAGGCTTTAAAAGCTAGAATAAAGAACAATGATATATGAGAAATGTGGCCACATTCATTTGAATAGAATACAGGATCAAAAGGAAAGAAACAAAATAAATAAAAGGAACTGATAGGGTTTGCATTTTTACAGGTATAGAAGTAACATATTTAACAAAACAGTAGCTTAGATTTATGGGACAAAGGGGAGTAAGGAAATGAGGCAGAGAAACTGAAGTTGGCCTTGATTTAGGACATAGACTAAGAAGAAGAGGAAGAGGAGAAATAGATACAAAGAAACCCACTTTTAACATGGCAGGGAAGGAAGACAGTGTGATTGGGAAAGAGGCAGAAGCACATGGGCATTTCCAGCTTTCACATAAACTTGGGTACCCTAAGAGATCCTATGTGAGCCATAAAACTTTTACAGCGAAATATTTACATCTTTGCTACCTGACTTAGGGGCTACTGATATTGAACAATTAGGCTACTCCTCTACTACTCAGATTATGCGAGAAAGCAAAAGACATGTGGTTGTGAAGCTGCATACTCAATAGAAGAGGACACACATTGAGTCTTCAAGGAATAAAAGGCCAAGTCAACCATCAAGATATTAAACATAAAACAGTGCCAGAATGCTGGGGAGGGTGAAAATTCTGAACAGGGCTGATAATGTAGAAAATTCAGGAAATAATAGAGAAAAAAAAATTTAAAAAGGAATTCAGAGTTGGATACAGGGTATGTCTACAGTATATGTCTTAGGAAAGATGAGTAATTTACGTCACATAACATCAAGCCCTTTCACCAGAAATGACAAAAGCTGTTTCAAAAATTCTACTTATTGCTTATAAAAAACAACTGAAATTATTTAAAAAGGGGAACTCCACTGACATATTCTAATGCAGTCAGTGAATGAATTCAAAGTTTCATTTCAACTCAGGTTTTGTTTTTTTTTTTTTTTTTGAGATAGAGTCTCACTTTGTTATCTTCGGGTAGAATGCCATGGTGTCACAGCTCACAGCAACCTCAGACTTGGGCTTAAGTGATTCTCTTGCCTCAGCCTCCCAAGTAGCTGGGACTACAGGTGCCTGCCACAACGCCCAGCTATTTTTTTTTGTTGCTGCAGTTGTCATTGTTTTAGCTGGGTGGGCCAGGTTTGAACCCTCTAGCCTCGGTTTATGTGGCCAGTGCCTTACCCACTGAGCTAGAGCACCACCCATCATTTCAACTCATTAAGGGCAAATGTCTTTAATAAATTTGTTTTAAAACATCTTAATAGGCAGTGTGAATGTGGCCCAGTACAGAAGCAGCTGTGTCTGATAAGAGAAGAAAAACTGGACTTGCTCAACCAGGCTACAAGGGCTGGTGGCGGTGTCACTCCACACACTCACAAACCTCTGGGAAGAAAGGGTAACAAAGACTGTCTACACGCTACAGAATGCCTGATTTCCTTATCACCTTGGGTCTTATATGTTCTAACAGCTGTCCAGTGCTGATTCTAGTGGACTGTATCTCTGTGAAAAACACAATTTTGCCTTTTTGTAATTCTATTTGAGAAGTTATAAGTTAATTAGCTTTCTAACCAACCAAATTTCTACATTCTAGGCTTAGCCATATCTAACCATTATTATAGCTTCAAAGACACTATGGATTCGAAAGTAGTGGGTTTTGATCAAGTTGACTGTTAAAAAAAACTGTCTTGATTTTAACTGTGGGGCATAAGTTACAGTAACAAACATTTGATTTGTACAGACATTTTTTCCCCACTCTGGTGGGTAAGCTCAACAAAGGTCATATTCCTTTCCCAAAATTAAAAAAAAAAACTTAATGTTATAATTAAAGTTGAGACCTTAAAATATGACTACAAAAGAAACTATGTCAACATCTTCATTCTTCTGAGACTTCGTGTGTGTGTGCATATATATGCTTGAAAATTAACAGTCAATGCTCATGTCATAAACTGGCTATGTAACAAGTATGTTTTAAAGCTGAGTTTGAATTCACAACAGTTTTCCAGAAATACAAATGTGATTAAACAAGTGATTGGCCCATTAAAATCTACTTAATTCATGACACCAGTTAATAACAAGTACTGACAACACAAGCTTGAACCAGAGTAGATAGCTAAGCGACATGGATTCAGAGCAGGAAGAGGCTTAGCCCCCTTTCTGGCACTGGGAGGAAGGCAAGGTGTGTGTCTGGTGCCTCTTCTCCTAGCTTTTGCTGCTCATTTCCTCGAGCTGCCCAGTGCCCTTTACCTACAGCTGTCCAGGGCTGTCATGTTGACTTTAGGGCTCCATATGACCTCCCATTCCTTGTTCCTATACCCATAGACATTATGCCTTATCTTGCTGTAAAATAATTTAAATATCTAATTAATTCTGTGATTTAATAATTTAAATAACTACTTTAAATTTCCATGTAAACTTCTTTGCATGGAATCAAAAGGGCCTTCACAGTCTGCCTTATCTGTTTTCTTCTTTCTGTGTACCCAAACAGAAAACTGACCTACTTCAAGTCTCCCTAATATTCTATTCTAGTCTCTTGTGGTCTTGCTCCTATTTTATATGCATTTTCTATCCCTTCTTTGGCCATTACTAACTGAGTAACAGAATAACCAAATAAGTTAGATGGCCCACTTCTTTTAATCACTCAGCACCTACTTATGCCAGGCACTATGCTCTCATACGAGTGCAACATTCCATTCTAACAGAAAGGCCCGTGATAATACTGCAATTGTTTGTGTGTCTGCATTAACAGACTGTAAAATCCTTAGGGCTCAACAATTTTAATGCATCAAGCTATTTGCTCCAATTTGTTTGCAGATCTCAATACAAACTTAAGAAGGAAACAATTACAGTTGCCTCTAGGAATGTATGGGGGCATTTGGTGGTTTCAGGACCCTGCAGACACCAAAATTTGCAGATATTCAAATCCCCTTATATAAAAGGGCAGAATAGTTCCATATATCCTATGCACATTCTCTCCATTACTTGTAATACCTAGTACAATGCCTACATATCACTTCATTTGAGCAGATTCAATGTAATACTTTGCTTGTAACAAATTCAAGTTCTGCTTTTTTGGAACTCTGTGGAATTTTCCCCACCCCTGGAATATTTCTGATAGACAGTTTGGTGAATCCATAGGTTCCACGGATATGAAGAGCAAACTATATTTTAAATAAATGTAAGTGGCTGGAATTTTGACAAAAGAGTGCTACCAGTTAATGCAAAGCACTTTCACCTGGAAAATGAAGAGAGTTACCCTAGAACCTAATCACTATAGCTTCACGGTAAGGTCTCCTAAAACAATAATGAACTATGTCTAGTCATAAGGCAAAACATTCTCTATTTGGTCAGATTTCAGAATGTAAAAAAAAAGGGAATAAAATTTCACACGTTGAGAAACAAGAATTTGGAGGCAAAGAGCAACTGCCAGGACACACACAATTCCTGCTGAGAAACCTGCATCTCCAGCCAACCTCCCCAAGCTATTCTCACTATCAAACTGCTTTTTTATGTGCTGTACTTCTGAACCCAAAGCCTCATTAGACAGTGGTAGCCAAGACAACTATCCGTGCTAATGGGACAGCCACTAGCCATACGGAGCTGCTGAGCACCTAAACAGCCATTAAGGGTAACTCTCTTTATTTTCCAGGAGTAAGGAACAGGGGTGAACCCTTCAGCTCCCCACTTTTTCCTCTGCCAACCTTGTTAACTCATTTGATTTTCCATTTTGTATATCGTATTGTCACAGTTAAAAAATAAAGTGAAAAGTGACAATAATAAATTTCTTAGAAAACTACTGTGCTGTTTTAAAATATAGGTTGTGCCATTGCTGGATTCTAACTTAAAGAGCCGCATGGTAGAATGGGCGGAACTTGGGAACCAGAAGACATACACGCTGGGTGTGACCTCAACTCACTGCTGGCCTCACCCATCTGGGCTTCACTGCTTAATCAAATGCATTAAGGAAGTCAGATGACAATGACCATCCTCTTTCAGTCTCACTGCCCACTGAAAAAGAGGCCATATTGGACAGGGGCAGAGAAAAACTTGGACAGAAGTTGCACTGGCCCCTGTTTCTTACTCCTGAAAATGAAGAGAGATTATTTCAGGAGAGAAAAATGAATACATATCTCAGACTTACTGACCAACTACAGATTTTAAGAGGTGGGGGATGGGGAAGTATCTTTGAATCCTTTCTTTCAAAAAATTATACATTAGTTAAAAAATTATTTGTCCCTATGCTGCACCCTAATCTTTTATGTTATGTAGTGGCAGCACCTTTTGGACTCTTTTTTCTGTGTCCATTTGAATGAAACCACCCGCACGCCTACATAGGTTACTATGAAGAAATCAGTGACTTTTGTGAACTTTGGGTTCTAACTGGGGTGGCAGCGTAAGTGCATGTGCATCTGTCTCACCACCTCCTCCTCCTGTCGAAGGAGCATAATCTACTTCAAGGGGTATGTTTCTAATATCCAGAAGTTCTTTTCAGTCTTCAAATCCGCTTGATCGTTTTGACAGTATTCTTCTTTCATAAGCTTTAACTTCTAATTTTATGCCTTTAAATACATTTATTTTATAGAATTATCCATAATTACATTATTTAAAGTATTAGGCAAAAAATTCTCCTAGTCTTTGCTGAAATTCATTCACTTCAGATCATTTCATACCTTCAAAAATTTGTAAGTCTTGATGGTTAACTCACTTACGCCTTTACATATATGTTACTTGTAATTTCTATGTTGCATATTTAACCCTATGTTCTTCCTACATGCTAAGGCCCCTGTGGCAGAAGGCTTCATGTAGTGAGCACTGAGGTGTGTGTACACAAAGCCCAACTTTGTGAGAGCTATGTCGACAGCATGGCCCTCCAAGAGGAGTTCTCTGCTTTCACAGGTGTCCCAGTTCTTATCAGCCCAGGACCTCTTCCAGCCCAGTTCTTATCCACCCTGTCCTCCTCACACGTTACTTGACATGAGGATTCCTAGACTCTATAGCTAGGATCAATGCAGCCCCTAAATCTGTGAGGTGGACCTATAGTCACAACTTCTTAAAAGGGAAGGTTTTCCTCCTTGACCCAGGATTCAGCTGAGCAGACCTCAGGTTTTGTCCATCCATGTTAGAGTGCTTTGCTTTTCTAATAAAATCATAGCACTTCACAGTGTATGCATGTATGTGTGTGCTAAGGGGAGTGTTCCGATCTAACTCCTCAAATGACATGACCCAAGACCTTATCACCCTTTCCCGTATAACTCTCTTTCACACAGTATCACGGGGATATTGTGTGGATATAAAACTTGAATTACTTTTGTTAAGGACAATTAGCAACATATCTCAATCCCTACTAAGCTGGGTAAGTCCCGATATTAGTTCAAGCTTTCTGCTCCAATTTTTAGGTTCAACGTTTTAGGTTCTACTATTCTTGAACTCTTAATTGCTATACATTTTTTTTTAAAATCGAGTTTTGTGGCTGTTTTGTAGTAGAAGAGTTTTTAGATAATGTAATCTGCACTATTGCTAGCAAAGGAACCTCCCGCTATATTCCTCTCTACACTTTCTAAATTAACATAGCAGTATAACCCCTAAGAGCAATGTATGTTTCTTGCAAGCCCCAGATCTCAATTGCATTTTTTGAGTTTTTCAGTACTGAATGTCTTAGAGCAGTGATCCCCAACATTTTTGGCAACAGCAACTGGTTGTATGGAAGACAATTTGTCCATAGACCAGGACAGGTGGTGGTGGTTGGGGATGATTCAAGCGCATTATGTCTCAACCTCAGATCATCAGACATTAGATTCTCATAAGCAGCACATAACCTTGGTTCCTCACAGGTGGAGTTTACAGTAGAGTTCATGCTCCTATGAGAATCTAACACTGCCACTGATTTGACAGGAGGTGGAGCTTAGGTGGTGAAGTGCAAAGTGGGGAGCAACTGTAAATACAGATAAAACTTCACTTGCTTACCTCCTATTCACCTGCTGTGTGACCTGGTTCCTAATAGGCCATGGACCAGCACCAGTCCATGGCCCAGAGGGTAGGGACTGCAATTGTAAAGTACTAACTAGTAGGATAATGTATAAAGCACTAAATGAAATTAAAACAAACACTGTAAGAGGGGGCCAAAATAAGAAAAGTTAAAATCTCTTTAAAGATAACTTATATACTGAAAATTAAAAAAAACCCTTTTATTATTCTTACCTCTGAATTAATAACTTTAATCAAGAAGAAAATATGATATACTGTCTTCGTTAATAAAGACAGCTGACGACACCTCTCAAGGTATACTTGTATAGATGGTTCTATTCTTTGCTGTAATTTACTCCAAAATAGAGTGAGTTCCCTAAAAAAAAAAGAGAAGGTTTAAAAGATAAGTTGAAGTACTAATAACTTAACTTATAATGTCATAATCATAAACCATGTAAACCTCATCATTACATTTGAGGTTAAAAATAATTTTAGATTGCAATTCTACATGTGCAATTAAGTTTTAAATGCAAGAAAACAGACCCAGATTTTCTAAAGACCAAATAAAATCAAGATATTATATTTATCATTTTATTATTTTTTTTCCATCCCTGACAGAAAAACAGTACTTTTTACTAGGAAAGCACCTAACATGTAAGCAAGTTGTATGAGCGGTAGCTACAAGCCACATCCAAACTTCATGTAGTAAGAAAGTCAAGATAGTCAAGATGTATGTGACTAAATACACAGACACATGCACATGTACCCACAGGGACAGGCATCAATGGCACGGTGAATTTCTAAAAGCATTTACCTTTTAGTTTTTAACCAATTTAAAATTGACCAATAAGACTCAATGATGACAGAACCCAGAAGAAACTAAAGTGCCACAGAGTGAAACTATGAAAACAATTCTGAGAAATAAAATCAACTCAAATATTTATTTCAAATGCAGTTATACTATGTTTTTTATTAAACAATTCTACTGAAGTGGTGAATTTTCCCGTTTTACTTCATATTTCTACTCTGTCTTCCATGACCAATTGCCCCTAAATCAGGCATCCTCAAACTACAGCCCCACAGGCCACGTGCGACCCACCTAGGACATTTATCCAGACTGCCAGGTGTTTTTGCTACCTGCCTGTCCTGCTTAGCAGCTGACTCGTCCCAGGGCCTGCAGTCCAGCCCTCCAATGGTTTGAGGGACAGTGAACTGGCCTCCTGTTTAAAAAGTTTGAGGACCCCTGCCCTAAATCTTGTTTCAACTTTTCTCACCACATGTCCTTCTCTCAGCAGAGCCCTTCCCTATTAATACTTGTTCAGCTTCCACCATCTACTTGAACAACTTGCTCATTCTCCAGATTTCCATCTATATATGGAAGACTTCAAAGTCTGTTTCTCCAGTCTTAACAACTTCATCACCTCTCAAGTTCTTCCTGAGACTTCTTCACTTTGATCTCTTTTGAAACCAAAAACCCAGTATATGAACAAAGATGACCTCCTTTTTCTCCAGTTCACCATCTTCCTAATTTAATGGATTGCCACGGCCCCCATCAGGCTCTACTTTCTCCCATCTTCACAACTTCTTTCACCTCATCTACATCCATGAGGCAGCCTTTGCAACCCCCTCAACTGGACTATACACTAAGTTTTTAGTTGATTTTCTGTCTCAACCCGGTCCTGGCACTTTCCTGTCCAACTCCACCTACCACTGACTCCTAGGTCAATTCTCAACTGCTCATCTTAGTGTTTCTTAGACACAAACTTCTACTTCTAGTTTACCCTCCCTCTTTCAAGAGCTTGCACTATACTGCTTTTACTTATATAAAATTCAGACTTTAGAGCCTTTTCGGTTTTTGTTCTTGAGCCAGAGCCTCGCTCTGTTGCCCAGGCTTGAGTGTGGCAGCCTTGGCCGAACTCACAGCAACCCCCAACTCCTGGGTTCAATGATCCTCCTGCCTCAGCCTCTCAAGTAACTGGGAAGACAGGTGCTTGCCACAACACCCAGCTAGTTTTTCTATTTTTAGCAGAGATGGGGTGTCGCTCAGGCTGGTCTCAAACGCCTGAGCTCAATCTACTTGTCTTGGCCTCCCAGAGTGCTGGGATCACAGGCATGAGCCACTGCACACAGCCTTTTGGTGCCTTTTTGAAAAATTAATTAACACATGAATTTCTTTTATTTTTAACATGCAGCATGTTTATTATATAAAAAATTAACAAATAACTGTAAAATGTTTCCATTTTAATTTCTAATATAGCAAATTATCAATTAGTCTACATGAACAAAAGTCTCTGCAGTCTTTTGTACTTTAAAGTTTTAATTTGGGGTCATTGTAGAATCGCATGCAGTTGTAAGAAATAATGCAGAGAGAATGTCTGTACCTTTATCCAGCTTCCCAACTTTGCATAACTTTAGTACTCTGTCACAACCAGGAAATAGGCACTGATACAATCCACCCACCTTCCCCAGATTTCATGTTTTGCATGCACTCATGTGTGTGTTTATGCATTCAAACACATGAATTTCTTAGTCATCAATGATTTTCATGCCATATCATACCAAGAAAATCTACTTCTCCCATCAGTATCTTTCTAGCTGCCTTTCATGTCAATGTTCTCTGTTATGCATATATAATTTTTCCTTCATAACAAAAGTCAACTGCTTGGAAAATCTTTATAATCATGAACTTCAGTTTTCTTTTACACAATATTTATCTGCCTTGCCTGATCTATATTCATCTATATGCTACATGTCACTTGGTAAATATTCTTAAATGTCAGAATGTGATGAACCAAATTTTTATTTGTTTTCCCATAATAGCAACACGACACTGAAGACTGACAATGCTGCTGGCTGACCGCACTGTCATTCTGAGCCAGTGCCAACTAAAGACAGCAATCTTCAGCTTTTGAGCTAATTGAAACCAGGATCTGCTACCTGTAGCCTCCCAAAGGGTCATATATAACAAGCTTTGGCCATTTGGAAATGTGTCACACAAAGAAATGTGTACTGAAAAAGGACATCGGAAAAGTAGAATGAAATGGTTTCTCACAGGTGAAAAATGAAGTGAATTTCCATAGATAAGCGACTAGTAGATAAAATAGCTGAAAGTGTACAATATGCCAAAGAAAAAAAATGCACATATTGAATCATAGGTTGTTTATATATCTGAAATTATTTTTATGGTGGCATTAGATAAAATGAAATTTTCTTTTATCTTCCAACATTTAAATAGTTCTTGACTATTTCATTACTGGTATGCTTGCTCAGAAATTTTATGTTCTTTAATACAAAAAGGTTTTAAAGCTGTAACAACTACTTAATAATCAGTTTGCACGGCATGTACTGTAGTATCTGAATATATGCCTTTGTCTTGATAAGACTTTAAGAAATGTTCCCAATCTATATGAATTCTCAAACCTATTTTTTCCCCACTATTTTGTATTCTTATTTAATATATTTTTCTTAAAAAACAAACTCAACTCACCAAGCACAATACATATCTCCTCGCTGGAGCTGGCGTGACAGAAACGCAGCACACAGAACAAGAGCACTTTTCTCGTCACCCTCAGACTCTAAGTTACAGATCATTTCTAGTGCATCTTTGCAATCAACTTCTGAAATCTACAGAAAAAGAAAAAACATGCCATAAGATGGTCTTACATCATGACATATACAATTATAGTTTAACTCATGCACTATCAAAGCCATAATCTGTCATTCCTAGGACAAAGACTGGCTACAATTTAAAAACAGCCTTTCTTCAGAGCCAGTAAAAATTAACATAGTAATTCTAAGAGAACTAAGAAACATGGGAAAATCAACTACGTATTTTCAAAAATTTCCAAGTGCTGACATGTAAATAACTGATAATTATAACCACCCTCTACCCAATAAATTAGCTCTATGATACTGAAAAAAAAGAAAGCTGGAGTATTTTTTTCTTCTTTTAGCCACTAATTTAAACAAGCAATAGAATCAAGACAGAGAGAAGTATATTATATATAAATTTGTAAACTAAGTACCTATTCATAAGGGGGAATCTAATGTGAAACATTTTGTGCGACTAAACCACCTCAAGCTCATCTCAATTTTCTATAAATCTACACTATTTTGGCTGCCAACAGTCATGCATGTGCATCTATGATCTAGATGAAGGTGACTTGTTTCATTTAATGATGTACTCACATCTATTACTTACTTTTTAAATTAAAATTTACTCCCTCATTGCAATGACAAAATATAGAAAACAAAAAGAATTTACCCATAATTTCTATAAGTGTGTGCTAGTCAGGGATGTGACAAACAGCAGAGACACGAATCAGCATTCCACGACAGAACAGAGAGGTTACCTACAACACGGCACAGCTGACAGATGGCAAGAGGACCAACACCCCGCACAGAATAGGCATTACACCTGCATCACAGAGGTGGCTACGCCTTGTTAGTGGTCTCTTTCTCATCAATGCTGAGTGTGCAGAGGTGTGAAATGTAATGTGTTTAGGGTTGAACAAACATCTAAATGAAGAACACGGGTCATCTTGAGGTCAGTCTTTGAAAAAGGTTATGTGGGAATAGATTCACAGCTTCCATTTTATAAATTAAATTGGGCTTGCTGGGTGGTGCCTGTGGCTCAGTGGGTAGGGCACTGGCCCCATATACCGAGGGTGGTAGGTTCGAACCCAGCCCTGGCCAAACTGCAACAAAAAATAGCTGGGCATTGTGGTGCATGGGTGCATGCCTGTAGTCCCAGCTACTCGGGAGGCTGAGGCAGGAGAATCGCCTAAGCCTGAGAGTTGGAGGTTGCTGTGAACTGTGATGCTACAGAACTCTACCGAGGGTGACAAAAACTCCGTCTCAAAAATAAATAAATAAATAAATAAATAAAATAAATTGGGCTTTCTTCAAAAACACTAAGACAAGAAAAGACCAAAAGCTGTCTGTTCAACATCAGTGATTTCTTAAAGGAATTATGAAGTTAGTGGCAGAGTTAAGACTGAAATCTAAGTCTTGGTACTAGGAGTACAATCGTTCTCTGATTGTCTAACAAATCTGTATATGCAACTTCATTTAAACAAATAAAAAAAGGGCTGAAAGATATATATTTATAAAATAATTTAAAATATCTACAATGTGAAATGTCAGCATTTTATATATATTACTATTTAATCATAACTCTTCCATTTTTAAGTGGAGAAGCATACAGAATACGTACCACTTTCACACCATTTTAATGTTAAAAAATATTAACTTTAACCATCTGAGGTCAGGGAACGTGTGTGTAATTGATGTAGGACTTGAGGATGTTACCAAGTTACAACATTTCGTTAAGTGGTAGAGCCACAAATCAAACCATGTCTGGCATCAAAGACTTAAGCTCTTTTCATTTCTTTACATTGTTTTATTAAAAACTGTGTTAACTTAAAAAAAAAAAAAGTTGTGTTAACTTTTAAAAATTACCATGGCACACTCATGCAGACAAATGTTAACATGTCAAACCATGAGGCTTTTAACAATTTTTTTACTAAGCGGTTAACAATAAGATTAACAATAGCTATCATTTATTTATTAGTGCCAGCTTCTGCAGAAATAGCAATGCTAATCCACACAGTATCCTGCCTCTTAAATATTCGTATTTCTTCTTCTTTCTTTTCTTTTTTTGCTAAGATTACGTAATACTACACAAAAAAGGCAAAAATCCCTGCCCTTGTGGATTTTAAATTTTAGTGTGGAAAGGCACAATACTAACAAAGCAAAATACAGTTTACATCGTACGTATAATAGAGCAGGGAAGTAAGGAGTGGGATGTGGGTGGTGAGTGAAGGAGCAATTTTAAACAGGATCCTTAGAAAAGCCTTTCTAATCAGAACGTAACAGCTGAGTAAAGATCTGAAGGAAGGGAGGGAAAAAGGATCGTGTGGCTGAATATGGGGATGGAGTCCAGGCAGAGGCAAGAGCAAGTTCAAAAGCTTTGAAGGAGGAGCACCCTGGCAGATTTGGGACCAGCCAGGAGGCTGTGTGGATGGAGGGAGTGAGTAAGCAGGCAGTGGAGTGAAGGGCAGATCTTATTATTTCTCTTTAAAAAAGAAGACAGAGAGAGGTTAAGTGATTTGCTCAAAGTCACACATTTAGTGGCAGAGTCAAGGTTTTGACCCAGACTTAGCTTAACACTCTTGCTCTCTCCAGAATCCCACAAGCACAGGCACACAGAGGATTTTTTACTAACTCAAGTTGAATAAAAATCTTAACCTGATTTGTTTTGAATTTGATCAAACCACGCTCTTCTCAGACCATGCTCAGATGGTACTAAATGTGTATATTATGCATAGGAAAGAAATGTATTTGTCCAGTGCTATTATTGTCATTAGCTCCCTCTTAATATATTTATTTATTTTTGAGACAGAGTCTCATTTTGTCACCCTTGGTAGAGTGCCGTAGCATCACAGCTCACAGCAACCTCAAACTCTTGGGCTCAAGGGATTCTCTTGCTTTAGCCTCCCAAGTAGCTGGGACTATACGTGCTTGCCACAACACCTGGCTATTTTTAGAGATGAGTTCTCATTCTTGCTCAGGCTGGTCTTGAGCCCATGAGCTCAGGCAATCCACCCACCTCAGCCTCCCAGAGTGCTTGAGATTACAGGTGTGAGCCACAATGCCCAGCCTTACTCTTAATATTTAAAAATATTTATTTGTATGTATGATCACCTATGTGTATTTATTCAAATAAACACAATATACCAACTGAAACATTTGCTGTATTCAATAATACTGAAAACTTCATTTTTACAGACATATTAATGAAACAATTTTTCCTGTGTACTTGAGATGGAGAGTTTTCATTTCCCTGATTTGCCAGTAGATCAGGTGTCCTCAAACTAGGGTCCGTGGGCCACATGAGGCCTGCCAAGAGGACACTTATCCGGCCTGCTGGGTGTTTGTGCCACTGCTGCCTGTCCAGCTTAGCAGCCGACTTGTCCCAGGCCCGCAGTCCGGCCCTCCAACAGTCTGAGGGACAGTGAACTGGCCCCTGTTTAAAAAGTTTGAGGACCCCTGCACTAGATGGTCCACTTGGAAAAATATAATATTAAAGAGAATGGTAGGAATAACGAAGCCATGTTTGAATAAATGACCATACTGAAACTGAGAAAAACAAAACACAGTCAATGAACAAGAATTATTTCAAAAATTCAAAGTGGCATAATTCAGAGATTATCAGTATATTACATGTAGAGAGACTATTTTGTGCTCTGAAAATGAGCAAAAATTTAAGTGCTATAAAATTTAGAGCTCAATAAAATTATTTAAGAACAGTTAGAATGTTCTGTTTATTAAAAAAATATTGTGCTGAATCCCTTCATAAAGCGGAAAAACCACTTAAAAATGTAATTAATTTTTGTTTTAATATGGCTTCTTATGCCAGGTATTCAAAAATATAGACTACTTCATCAATATTTATATACATCTATGATCATACTTTAAAAATGTACTGGCTCTAGTCATATTTTTTAAGAACTGACTTGTTTATCAAAATAATATTGCTTTCCATATAGAAATGAATTTAAATGTTTAACCTATCATAATTAAAAAGTGTGAAATCAAACAATGAACGATTTTTTAACTCTCTGACTAGAAAATACTTAAAAGATGAATAACCTCTATTGTTAGGAAAGAAGACATTTCATATACTGTTTCTGGGAACACAGAAGTTGCCACCACATTTTCAGGATGGTTATTTGGGCTTATCAATTTAAGATGTGTGCAGATTCTTTGATCTAAGAATTTTCCTTCCAGAAACTTAGCCTACTAGTATACTTCCAACAAAGATGCAAGGGTGTATGTGCAAGGCAACAACATGTGACAAACCCACATGCAGCCAGAAGAATGAATGAGGTTGAACTACAGGAGAGATTTCCACAGTAAGGGAGGGAAAGTGTCTAGCACCCAGCGCATGTTTGCATGTGGTTTTAAGTATATGAATATAGACAGATGGAAAGAAAGAAAAATGTCAGAAAGGTTATATGTGAGATTTAGTAATAATTAACTAGAGAAGAATTAAATGGGGATATAAGATAGAGGCAAGAAAGCAGATTTTACTTTTTAAGTTTCTGTATTTCCTTTAATAATAAAGCCAACAGAATTATTGGACCTAAACTAAACACTGCTTACTTTATTTTTACTGCTGTATTAAGAATCCAGGCCGAAGTTCATCCCTTCCAGAGAAGCCAGACAAACATTCATGCCTCACAGCCCACCCCACCCTCTGCCACCCAGCAAGGCCAGTTGCTATGTCCACCCACTGAAGAGGTCCTGGCAAGTTGTCATCCCAGGCCTACAGGTTCACATGCACAAAGATCTCCTCACACAGAGACCATCAATATAGGCCATGACTGAGTCCTAACAGACTCTATTCTTTTCATCCTCCTAAGAAACGCTGTTTCTTTTTTCTTATTAAAAAAACACTTCAAATACTGACAAGATAGAGACAAAGTAAGTGAACGAGGGGAAGCGCTTGCATGCCCCTCCTTAAGGGAACAGCCTCTGGCAACTGTTCCAAAGGGACAGGTGAGGTGATCACCATCCCTGGGGTCAGAAATAATTAGCCTTGGTGACAGCCAAACTGAACTTACCTCATACCAAACAACAAAGAACAAACTTCTGATGTGTTTGTGACAGAAACACAAAAGAGTGATCAAACCTAATCTCTGAGCAAAAAGGGACTCTGAACAAGAGCTGTGTAGACCGATAGAGACTGAGTGTTCTGCATTATGTGAGCTTGTTTTTTCCCTGGGATGCAGTATGCAAACCTTAGTAAACTCAACTTAAGAGCATGAAAACTCTTAATTCTACCTGTTTAAGGTAGGGAGGGGGAGAGAAATCATTTCATTTCAGAGGTACCCAGTGCCCTCATAAACAGTTTTTCCAATCATCTCCCAGAAAAGGGGACTGCTGCTACTCAACTCTGAACAATTAAACCAAGAGGAAATTTAGGCTCATCATTGCAAAACTGATTTCAGAGAGCTAGAAATACAGATTTTTTACTTGAAACTACAAATTCATTCTAATCCAACAACTCTCCGCTTAGACATACATTTCCTACTAGAAACTGGGCTTCTCTGGGGAAGGGCCCACAACTCACTCACCTTTAACTCTCAAGACTAGCTGCACAGTATACATCATTCACTTAATAAAAATGTGTGAAATGAAGGAAGGACAGATGAACTTCAAGGCAGGGACTGAACCGATAATAGAAAAGCTTTACTGAAATTGAAAAATATATCTAACATGTAGCAGCACAGTAATTACTTGAAGATTTTAAAAATGTTAACATATCAAAGGCTGTTTCAATAAATTTTATATACCTGCTAATTAACTTTTCTAGTTATTTTGAACTAATAAGAAAATGTCAATCTTTTATTTTACTTTCATATTTATCAATCAAAAGCCAACTATCTGTCATAAAAGAGAATTAAAAAAAATTTATATTTTAGCCAACGTCCAAACTAACAGTGTAATGCCCCAGGCCACATAGAGCCTAGAAAGTGCCTGACATCACTCTTTACCACTACCCTCAATATCCTTTTCATAATAAGATGAACAGGTTTATTTCTAATCTTGGTCCAAGCCTACTATCTGCCTCTTCACTTTCTATTTTCAAGAAAAATCACAAGATCTCCATCATACTGCTTTTAACCTTATATGCTGGCCAGCTTTCCGTCTCAGGCTATTCCAGCTTCTCACTCAGATTAGAATACCTCTCTGTCTGCTCAAGGACCATGCATGTTCTGCTGACTGTCTCCTCTGTCTTGTGATCTCAACCTGTCATTAAGTCTGTCCCACAGCCCCTTTGTTCTCCCCTCTCTATTGCTCTGGAGTTGGAGGATACATACACATTTAGTGCCCACAAAACACTCATTAATGTACTATACTTGTGTTTATCTAAATTCTTTAAGTACATATTCCCTTTCCTTGATCAATAACTTTTTTGTTTTTAAGACAGAATCTCACTTTGTCACCCGTGGTAGAGTTCTATGGCATCATAGCTCACAGCAACCTGAAACTCTTGGGTTCAAGAGATTCTCTTGCCTCAGCCTCCCAAGTAGTTGAGACTACAGGAGCCTGCCACAACACCTAGCTATTTTTAGAGATGGAGTCTCATTCTTACTCAAATTCCTGAGCTCAAGCAATCCACCTGCCTTAGCCTCCCACAGTGCTGGGATTAGTGGCATTAGCTACTGCACCTGGCCTTCGTCAATAACTTTTAATTCTCCTACCCTATGTCCCACTTCCTTTTGGAATAATGAGGCCTATAAAACACAAAATTCCTGTTTGGACCATGATTCTGGTCTCAGAATTTTGTAGTCACAAAACATACAAATACATGACAATTATGCCTTATGCCAACTGAAGTAAAAATAAAAATGTCTCATAAATAAAATGTAAATAAAAACTCAATAACTTACAATCTATGTAAAATAACATATAGTGTGTATCTATACACAAACACACATGTGTTCTATAGAATATAGAATATGTCACTTCTCTCTAAGAATAAGAAAGAAAGTGTTCTATAAAGTTATGTAAATTGGGCAGTTAAAGAGATCTGTAACTATCTTGGTATCAGGTAAAACTGTTAAGGTCTCAGTCCTGACAAATTATAAATATCTTACTAAACTATTATGTTACCACCATCTTTCCCATAATTCAGTCAAAGCATTTAAAAGATCCATAGTATTTAAAATAGAAGCTAGGTGAAATCAGTTCATATATAATTCTGGAAGGTGTTTAAGGATCAAGTTGCCACTACCTAAGATTATACCAAAGATTAAGACTGACAGCAATGGTCCCTTCACTTTCCATGACAAAAAGAAATAAAAAAAGAAAAAGCACTTTAATCTAATTAAAAATTTCTCCACTTTAAAAAATAATTACTAATGAAAGAAAACATACTCACCTCTTCGATTAACTTTTCATTTGGTGATGATGTACAAAGACAGACAAGGTAAGTTTGCTTAAAGCTGCCCTTTGTACCAATCTCGGGGTGGTCAGAGCACAGCTTTGCTAGGGCAGTTGCTTGGCTTAACTGATTTGTTTTGATTAGATGTTTAATTCTCATATCCAACAAGATGGGACCCTCAAAAGCTAAAAATTCATTCACTTTAAAAAACAAGACATAATAAATTATTAACATTTGGTAATAATTCATTTGCAATACAAATACTTATAAGGAATTTTTTTTTTAAACAAAGAGACTAACAATCTTTTTTCTGTAATTTTCTTTCACTGCCAGTAAGGCTATCATGAAATATTTGACCTTATAAGAAAAAAATTATATTACTAACTTTTTGTCCCTTTGAATACCATTCAGAATGAGTGGAATAAACTTCTTGGTGGTTAAAGAACTCTGCATTAAATTCTAACAGTGTTATTAAAATTGTACAAAATTCTTTTTCCCACAGCAAGTATTTTTAATACCCGGGGTTAAAATTTCAAAAATTATTAATGACAAAAAAGATGTTTAGACATTCTAGAAGAAAACACTCAACTAATAGTATGTTCAATACTGATGAAGTTTTCACTTTACAAAAATTAAGTTAATCTCTTTTGGATAGATGTTTTAGAATGAATCAAAATATCTACAGAAAAATAAATAAGAGGGCAAAAGAGTCTGTCAAAGATAAATCCCATAAAACTTCTGTAGACTTGTCTTATTTTTAAAACATCAATCTATAAATCTCAAAATATATTTAAGACCCATTTATGTATAATAAATTTTCTAATTTGTTCAAACCTTTGAATTTCCTAATACTTGTTTGGTCATCTACAAATAAGAAAGCATTTTTAACTTTCTGTACTTATGAAGAAGAATTTAAATTTTCACAAAAGTGCAAACAAATTTAAGCTTTTCCCTAAGCCTTCTTTTCCAGGTTAAAGCCTATGAAAAGCTTTTAGTAATAAAATGTCCTATAAATAAAACACATTATTTTCTCCACTTGTAAATAGACCGGCAGATATGCCTAGTAAGTGGATTAGAAAATGGAAAAGGAAAGAGGTTCTTTCCTTCTTTAGATATCCTTTGCTTCCCTCTAGAACTTTTATTGTTTAGATCCAACTGTACTCTACTATAAAAAGATTCTTCTGTAACACACTACTATCATGGCTACTCAGTATTAAATCCATAAACATGTAAGCAATATAACATAGGATCCCAAATTTCATTCTTTTCTTAAAGCAGACCTTTGTACCCTCTACCTTTTAATTCTTTACATTAGACTAAACCAAAAAGTATTACGAGGAAACAGAGATAAATGAAAACTAAATCCATGGTTTCTGGTGACATAGGCCTAATTGAGTTAAAGGGCATTACTTTTCTTTTTTTAATATGATGTGATCCTATTATAATAATTATACTGCAAATATCTTTCCATGGTTAACTGCCAAAGCAAAATCTGTAAAAATTTCAAATAAAAAATTTAAGAGAAACAAAGATAAAATAAAGTGATTGTGGCTATAAACAGCTTTAATTCAACAATTCCCTTAAAAGAAATTCCTAGAAATATAAACTTTGGAAATTACTCCAAATAATCTCAAAAAATTCATGATTAACAGATAGCAAAATACCAGAGCAAAGAAATAATATAAACGTGGCAAGTATGCAGCAAAACCAATTCTGCTCTTAATAGGTCAGTCTCATACACAGCCCTAGACCAGTGGTTCTCAACCTTCCTAATGCCCTTTGATATAGTTCCTATGAGTCTTGACCAACAGGTTGAGAACTGCTGCCCTGGACTCTCCCAGCAGCCTGTGAGTTAGCATGGCAAATTATGTAAAATAATTTCTGTGCTAAATCAATGTATGTGAAAATATATATTAATTTTATAAATTTCAAAAACACAGGTTTTTATTTTTTAATGATGAGAAATCACTGCTACACTCAGGGAAAAGTGGACTTCAAAGAATACAGAAACTTAGAGCAGAGGGAACTTTATAGATCATTTTGTCCATTTCCATATTTGGCAGATGAGTAAACTGAGGCTCACAGAAGGTAACGACCTCCTAGGGTCATAAAGCCAGTTAATGACAGATCCAGGACTAGAATAAAGCTTTATAAAGAGTGAGATAAGAAAAAATGGTTCTCCTGTTTGACTACTGTGTCTATTAATTCAATGACACTTTATAGCAGGAAAGAGATGAGGTAGCATTGGACTTTAAGATAATTACATACTCTGAAGCTCATGTTTCAAATAGATCAAAAGCAGATTACACTCAATTCAGTCCTACTGCAAACTTATCTCTCTCTCCCTCTGCCTCCTTTCTTTTCCTTTCTCCTTTGTGCTCCTTTTCCCCACTCCTCTCCATTTTTCTCTACTTCTCTCTCAGATCTAGGACATTTCTTCCTCATAGTTACAATATTGCAACAAAGACTACCTGTTTTACTGTTTGCCAGATACTAAAGATTTGTGATGTTTATCTTGGAATAGCTAGACATATCAAATTTCACTCCCTACCCTGCTATTCCCCACAAAAATATAATATGTTTTTAATTTTATGTATGTTAGCCTTTTAATCTGTTTTTATGGATTTTATGGATTTCAATGGAACAACAGGTTTTACCACATGTATGCCCAGGAAGAGAGGTGAGTGACACAAAATGACAAGGTAAGTGGATATTGCCAGCCAGCTCCACTGTAAAAAGAGCCTTCTTCCCCCAAAATGCCATTATCATAATATTATTAATTCACGTTAAAAATTATTAACTGTAAACATATCACAATATATAAGTTGATTTTTTATGATAAATAAATCATTGCAAGTATTAACTGTGTACTCACCATAATTTATGCTAGGTCTTTGGTTCCCCCCAAAGTGGAACCAATTTACTTATTGGATGAATTTTCTCATGCCCAGATTTATACATGATTTCCTTCGCAGGCTCTCTAATTAGCTGTTACACACGCATCTCAAACTCAGCATACAAAACCTCTATTCAGTGTGCTAAAGCCAGAGCCCTAATGCCTTTAAAAAGCTCTCTCCTGCTTCCAACCTGTCATCTAATTCTGTCACTTCTGATACCTAACTACTCAGTTTTACTCACTTTCCCCATCTCCATTTCCACCGCTACACCCCTGCAGCTGAAACCACTAATCAGACCACCTTGCTAGTGAGCTGCTTGCCTAATCTTCATCTACTCTCCCCCCACCCACTGCCATCATTTTTCCACAAGGAATTAGGGTGCTTTTTGTTTTGTTTTTAAAGCACACACTTAATTGTACTTCCCTGTTTCAACTCTCCCAGTGACTTTCTTTTGCCTTCAAAATGCAAATTCCAAAATTCTCATCATAGCATACGTGAATCTGCATCACTTGTTCCTTTTAAAGACATATAATTTGTATTTCCTCTTGGAAATAATTCAGCAATTGGGCAAATAAAATAAGTAAGTAAATAAATGCCATCCAAATTGGAAAGGAAGAAGGAAAATCATCTCTATTAGCAGATACTATGATAGTGGTTCTCAACCTTCCTAATGTTGCAATGTATTTTCATTGTTAAAAAGGGGTCACGACCCACAGGTTGAGAACCACTGTACTATGATCTTATATGTACAAAACCATAAAGATTCTAATAAATTTGCAGGGTATAAAAACATGCAATAATCAGTTGCATGTCTACTCATTAACAATGAACAGTGCAAAAAGGAAATTAAGGAAATAATTCTATTTACAACAGCATTAAAAAGAATAAAATACTTAGGAGCAAAGCCAACACAGGGAGTGGAAGACATGTGGCGTAGAGATCGCAAAATATTGTTACGAGAAATTAAAGAAAACATGAATAAGTGGAAAGAGATCTTGTGTGTTCATGGATTTGGAAGACTAAACATTAGGACAACCCATACTACCCAAAGCAATCTACAGATTCAACACAATCTGTACAGACCAACACAACACAACAAAGAGCTTAGAAATAAGCCCCAGCAGGTGCTGTCAAATGACCTCTGACAGGATGTAACATGACCTAGCAGGGAGAAGACAGTTTCAACAAATAGTGATGGAAAAACTGGATAACCACATGCAGAAGAATGCAGTTGGACACTTGTCTTGCATCGATAAAAACATTAACTCAAAATGGCCTAGAAACCTAAAGGAGACCCTAAACTATAAAATTCCTGGAAGAAATCATAGAGAAAAAGCTTCTTCACATTGGAGGTAGCAATGATTTCTTGGCTGTGACATCAAAGGCATAGGCACAAAAAGTAAAAACAGACAACTGGGACTACAACAAACTCAAAAACTTTTGTGCATCAAAGAATACAATCAAGAAAAATCAACCTATGGAATGAGAGAAAATATTTGCAAATCATTTACCTGGTAAGAAATTAATAATACGGAATATAGAAAAAATGTGTACAATAAAACAACAAAATATTAAATAATCCAATTAAAATATGAACCAAGAATTTGAACACTTATCAAAAGATACACAAATGGCCAAAAAAAAAGAAACAAAGCAAATCATCAGAGAATTAACTGAAAAGATAAACATGAGTTATCACCTCATATTCCTTATAATGACAACTGTGGGAAAAACCCAGAAGATAAGTGTTGGAGAGGACACGGAGATATGGGAATCTCTATGCAGTGATTGCCCCTACAAAAATGGTGCAAGCTCTATGGAAAACAGCATAGGGCTTCCTCAAAAATTTAAAAATAGAGCTGCCATATGATCCAGTTATCCCACTTCTGAGTATACAAATAAAAGAACTGAAAGGTCTCAAAGAAGTATTTGTGCTCTCAAGTTTACAGCAACACTACTCACAACAGCCAAGAGGTAAAAGCCAACCAAGTGTCCACTTAGGAGGGAAAAATAAACAAAATGCAGCATACACATACAATAAACACAATACAATATACACATACAATAAAATAAACACAATGCAGTATACACATTCAGCCTTAAAAAGAAAGGAAATCCTTTGACACAGATGAACACTGAGGACTTTGTGCTAAATAAGTCAATCACAAAAAGACAAGCATGTGATGATCCTATTCATACACACCTAAAGTACCTAAAGTAGTCAAAGTCATAGAAACAAAAAGTAGAAACCAGGGGCTGGGGAGAGGGGGGAAGTTGTTGCTATTTAGGGTACAAAGTTCCAG